ACTTTCTCAGCTCATCCTCTATATTTTTATTTTTCCTTGCCTTTTCTATGTCTTGTGCTATGAGTAACATCATTGCATTTGCCTTCCAATTCACTAATTTTTCCTTCATTTGTGTCCAATCTGTTTTTATGCTCATTCACTGAATTTTTTTAAATTACATTTTTTAGAAAATTTCTATCAGTTCTATTTTTTTTTCAAATATTTCTGGGGCACTTCTAGAGTATCTTATTGGTTGCTAATTTCTATAGTTCCATCTTTTATTTTATTAAATATTTCAGAGTATATATTCTATATCTGATTATTCTACTACTGAAAGTTTTGGGGGATTCAGATATCTATCTCTTTCCCTCCTTACCCCTTTTCTCATAACTCATACTTCCTTATGTTTTCAGTGATGGTTCTGAGCTTGTGTCTGATTAATGTTTATCTGTGGGAATTCTAAGTATCCAGTGCTGGGGACGCTTTCCTCCAGCATTGAAGGGGATTTCCCCTTTACAGGTCCTTGCTTTAAGATGGGAATCCCACGTCCAGATGCTCACTGTGCTGCTGGCCTAGGCTTCTGTCCCTGTCCACTGCTGTGCTGATGTTAGCATTGGACCTTGGCCAAACACACTTCAATCGCTCTTATTTGCCACTTACATTTTGCTGTTCAAGTTTCAGCTCACTTCTTGTCCTATACTTCAATTTCAAAAGTGAATCTGGGACTTAGAAAAACCATCTCCTTGTTCATTGATGAATGAGACTTTGGCTGTCACGAGCCTCCCTTCCCACAACAAAAACTCCGTTCCATCAGCACTCATATGCTGCCATAATTGATCAAAGTATGCATTTTATTTGACAAATGCAGTTTTGCAGACCTAGGTCATCATAAAGAGTCATGACCTGTCTGAAGTTAAAAGTTCAAAGAGAGTTGTAGGCTAATGTCAGTATCACTTCATTGATGCTGATCAAAGTCTCCTTGAAGCTGGAAGACAAGATGCATTCACTAATTCCACCTTCATGAACTAAAGCAGAGGGAGAGAACGAGAGTGCATTTGTAATAACATGTTTTAAATGGTAGGTGTGTTGAAATAGCTTGGCATGGCCTCAGATAGGGGTTGTGTACTGATCTTGCTCTTGTTGTTTGCATGGAATGCACGTGTGCCTTGGTGGTGCTATGGTGCAAGGCAGAGGCACTGAGAAGTTGCATTATCTGTATCTTTCATGGATCAGTAAAGCTGGCATTTCTCCTGCCTCTTACTGGCATGCATGCTGTTCAGGACCTCATTCGCTCCCACATCTTTCTCTTCTCCTCTCCCAGCTCGTCTTGAGAAGCCACTATTGGGAGATGGCTGAGGACTACCCACCTGACCCAGTGCAGGCTCCTCTGTCCATCTGCCCAGCCCAGCTTAGCCACAGTGAGCATTCATCCTTTGCACATCTGATGCACACAGCCAATCCCAGGCATCTTCCTTCTCCTTGTGTGATTCGGACAACTGACACAGTGATGCTCCACTCTGCCGTGGAAAAAAAAATGGCCGGGGAGAGTGAGAACACCTAGTGGGCTGGAATGTGCCCAGCTTTTCTGTTTCTGTCTACAGCAGATACAGGCAGTGTCTCAGTAGCCCTGGGGAGGCCACCTTCAGTGTTCCACTACTTCTTGTGTCCTCACTTTCTTCTTGGTGACCAGGCATCTCTTCTGTATACTCTCTCTCTCCCTGGAGGGTCCAGGAAGGTAGAGAAGGGGTCCGGCCCTTCCAAGTCATGCCCCAGCAGAGTCAGCATGCCTCACCTTTGCATAGCGCTGTAGTGTCTGTGAGGCTTGAGGCCTGCTCACCCCAGAGGCCGAGGCTGCCCATCCCGGGAAAGTAGCCATGCCGCAGGTAAGGACAATCTCAAGGCCAGTTAGGACAGCTTCTCAGCATCAGCTCAAGCTCAAGCCCTGGACATCTCAGGCTTTGCAACAGCAAAACACAAATCTGTTAACTTACTCCTCCCAAGAGAATTACTTGGAAAAGATTTTATAAATATTCAAAGGCCGCTGTGGACAGCCTGAGGCCAGTTGACCCCGAAGGCAGCAGGCAGCAAACCAGATAGGAGGTGGGAGTCTTGCTTGTATGCACTCCCTCTCTAGGTGTCTGTGGAGCCATAAGCCTGGGTGGGTGTGCTGATGCCACCACCAAGGCAAAGCTCTCAGCAACAGGACACAGCCAAGAGGAGGAGCAAGGCTTCCAAACCAGTTTATCTCCCATATTTGATTAAAAGTAGCCTGGTCCAAGATCTGCCTGCAGCCAGCAGATACCTCACAGTTGCTGGTGGTTAACGTCACGAGCCTTCTGGTCTTTGCCACCTACAGATGCTGGGCCTGTGGGTTTCCCCTCCCTGCTCTCATTTCCTGCCACCTGCCATGGGGGCTGCACAGGTCGCATGTCCATGGTCAGTACCTGTACCTGCCGGTTACCTGTCACCAGGAGCTGGCCAGGGCTGCTTGGTGGAGCACAGAAAGAGAGGGGATTGCCTGTAGGACCCATCCTCTTGAGGAGCCTCAAGGAAGTGGGAGCCTTTGCAGAAACTGCTTGTTCAAAAGTAAAGGGCACTCTCTGTTACCTCTGGGTTGCTCTGTATTTCCTCCTGGTACTAGCTCTGTTTTTATACTGCTTTTATTATGAAATATAAAACACATAAGAGTGCATAACTAAATAGATACAACTTAATGAATGATCAAGCAAACACAGCCCAGCCAAGAAATGAAATGCACCCAGCATTGCAGGAGACCCCTCCGGCCTCACAAACTCATACCCATCTGTCCGGCTGCCTCCTGGGAGGCACCACCTCCTGAACTTTTGTGTTCATCACGCCCTTGCTTTTTTTGTTGTGATTTGTCATTTGCTTATTTTTTTAAGTTTTACCACCTAGGTGTACATCACTAAATAAAACGGGGGGCTTTTGTCTGTTGGGGACTTTGTGTATATGGAAGCATGGAGCGTGTTTTATGTTTGTGAGACTCACCTGTGCTTTGTATAGCTGCCATTTGCTCATTTTATTGCTTTATAATATTGTATTGTGTGAATTTCTACAATTTATTTACTTGCTCTGTGATCAGTGAACACTCAGGTTGTGTGCAGTTTTTGATAAACACAGATGAAGCTGGCATAAGCAGCCCTGGGATGCATAGCGTACACATTTCATACACCTCGGGATAGAATTGCTCATTCATGATGGCATGAATAGGTTCGGTCTCAGGAGACTGTTCCAAATTGTTTTCCAAAGTGGGTGAACCTGTTTATGCTCCCACAAACAATGCAGGAGGGGCCCTGCTGCTCCCCACTCTCAGTAGCACTTAGAATGATCTTTCTAATTTCCACCAGTCTGAAGAGCATGGAATGGTGCTACCCTGTAGTCTTCATTTGCGTTTGTCAGATTTCTAATGAGGTTGATGGCATCGTCTCTCAGGGCAACCTGTGCTTGTCTGTCTCTGTTTTAATAAGAAAATGTCAATCAAGGCATAGGGCAAAGGTGGAGTAGTACAGATTGGACATGGATTCAGAAACCAGTGCTCAGATCCCATTTATTGTTACTTTTTTTTTTTTTTTGTAGAGATGGGGTCTCACTCTGTCACCCAGGCTGGAGTGTAATGGTACAGTCTTGGCTCACTGCAGCCTAGACCTCCTGGGCTCAAGTGATCCTCCTGCCTTGGCCTCCCAAAGTGCTAGGATTACAGGTGTGTGCCACTGTACCTGGTTCAGAACCCATGTATTATCTTCATGACCTTGAGGTCACAGACATGAAAGATTAAACCATAGGAAATACTTTGCAGTGGTATATGGTCATCATTCCTTCAAGGCCAACTTTTATAAGCATGTGCATCCACTCTTACTGCTGTGGCATTTGGACAGCCCTTTACACCTCCAAACTGTTAGGGACTGGGACTTCACAACTCACTCTCAGAGTCTCAGATCTCATGATCCAAAGCTGTGGAGAGGGGAGAACGAGGGGAGAAATGGGATCTGAATTCTGATCTGAACGCTGTGGGTGTGACTATGAAGCTAAATTGGGGGATTTGCACCCATTTCATGCCCTTTCAGCCTCCACCGAAACCTGGACCTCCCCTAATCCTACAGGTCTTCCAGGGGATCTGTCGCCTCCATGGGTCAGAAGCCTCTCGTCGCATGCACTGCAGTGGGAGTTTTGTTCCCTGCCTGGCATCAGACTCCCGCATCTCTGTTCACCAGGCCCCGGGGGCAGGGGATGGTGCTGAGTGTAGCCCAGCATGACCTTGAAGACAGAGCCTCGGCTGGTCAGCATGGCCGGCACAGCTCTGGTTTCACTTCCATCTCTTGATCCCACAGTAGATGTCATTTTCTTCTCCTGGGGATCTTTCCTGACAATATCATCATTTGAAAATGTTTAAAGTCCAGCCCTGCTGCGGTTTCCTGCAATAGGAGCATGGGAGGGAGCGAGGCAGGCCCTGGGGGACAGAAACTTCCACATCCCTCCATCTCTGGTCCAGAAGATGGCTGGTTAAAATGCCCACCAGACACCCCACCCCTACCCCAAGCTAGGTGGTGGAGATGTCCATCTTGGATCTGACCCAAATGCAGACGCTAGTGAAGAAAAGAGAGTCCAAAGGGCTCCACAGATAATCAAGGCCCATGGATCCCCTGTACTCATCGCCCTGAGCAGCATCACTGCTACCGAGCACCAGGCTCTCCTGACCACCACCCAGGGATCCTGGGCCCTGCTAGATCTTAGCCATTGTCCATTCATCGCCAACCTGCTGGAATTTTCTTGTTGCAAGCTCCCCCACTGGCATCATCACTGAGTGGTGAACTGGGCATTCCTGGGTAGGCTGGGCAAAGTCCTTGACCCTGAGGCTCCAGACACTGCTCTCTGGCTGCCTTGCCAGGTGACAAACCCCAGAGAGCTGCTGCTGACCACTCAGGTCAGGGCGCTTCCTCCTCCTAGGGTCTTACTGGGGACTGGCAGGCCTGGGGATGATGCAGCTCCATCCTCTTTTCCAGGATCAGAGCCAGAGACAACAACGGCTCCTACGCCCTGTGCCTGCTGCACGAAGGGAAGGTGCTGCACTATCGCATTGACAAAGACAAGACGGGGAAGCTCTCCATCCCAGAGGGGAAAAAGTTCGACACACTGTGGCAGGTACCCGGCCTCCTCTCCCCACCTTGCAGGTAGAGTACAGGGCACATGGGGCTTCTTGTCCCATGGACTCTTAGATACCAGAGAAACTGGACCACCCACTGTCCACAGTGTGGTCCCCAGGCCAGCAGCAGCCCTGGAGCTTGTGAGAAATGTACACCTGTATCCACACCTGGGCCCCTGTCGCACCTGCCCATCTGAGCCCTTTTTCAGCCTCCAGGTGGCTTCTGTGTTTGAGAAGCACTGGTCCAGGGGCCATCATGTGAGATGAATGAAGGTTCCATGGCTTGTTAAGGGCCACTCAGTCCTCAGTGTCACAGGGTGATGTACGTGCAGAGCTGTATTCAGAGTTTAACAAGACACCCTCTTTTGGAGAGCTAGAAAATATTTCTTCCTAGGATAATCTGGGTAGACTCTAGAACAGCCTTTCACACAAAGACACACAAAATAGAGGCATGGATGGCCAGGGAAGGAGGCCTGGGAACAGCTAAGCAGGCCTTTGCTGGTGGTGCGAGAGGCTGAAATAGACAGTAAATGTCAGGTGCCCTCCTCATTGTAAATTGAGTCTCTCTCCTGTGGAAACCAAGGCAATTTAGGAAACACATCCTAAATTTAGGAAGTGTACTCCCCAGGCTCCAGGCTGCTGCACATACGCATTGCCACAGCCCTAGTCTAAAAAGTGCTTATTCCTGACCCAGCTATGAGTAAACCCTGAAACAACTCGCAGTTTGGAAGTTCCTTGGACACTAATGAGCACTAAAATAAAGCTCATCACTGCTTTTCCTGAATCGCAGTACGCACAGATTGCTTGTCTTAATTTTGCATCACAACTACACTGGCTGATGATGAAGGAAATAACAGTAACAGTGCTTCATGCACCATCTTAGCAGAGCATCCTATAAACTGTAGTCGTTTCAGAGACAGGGAGAAAAGAAAGCCAACTGACTCTGCCACCACCCCACTGCCCCAGAGCACCAGCTACCTTGAACGTGTGTGGGTGAGGGGTGTAATCAGGGTGCATGCAAATTTCCTCACCCAGGCCCAGCTGGGGCCACACATGCAGTCAATATTGAGGAAAGGACTCAACTGAAAATCCTGTCTTTTCAAAAACTGAGACCATGGAGCATTAGTCCCTTTAAAGCACTTAAAGTTACTACATCCAAATGTGATCTGGTTTCTAATGCCGTAATTGGAAAATCAAATTGCTGGATATGGCCATATTAAAAATATTAGCTACAACATTTACATTTACATTGTCTTTTGATCTTATGGCTCATTGGCATGTGTTATCATCGACCACAGGCTTTGCTTTCTTTTAATGATATTGATCCAAATAAATATTTAACTTTTCTACACTTGAGGCCCAAAGCAACATGAGGGAGGTTTGTAGGGAATGTTGCCTTCTGGAATGCAAAGGCACCTGGAGTCCTCTATGCCAGCCTAATGTTCCAGGGTCCCAGGCCCCATCACTTACAAACAGCCATTCACCCACCTTCTCCAGAAAGGGCATTCAAAGGCTGAGCACTCAGGTAGTGTTAAGCATCTCAAATTATTGAGAATGATTCCCCTGGTAGATCATAGCATTCAGCCCTAATTAAATTCTTTCTCATTGTGTATTTTCTAGGCACTGTGTTTAGGAAACTACATCAAAAATACCAGCAATACCTTTCAATTTTCCATGCATGATTCTGTTGATTTTTCTTGACAGCATTGTAAGGTACCTCTGTACCCTACCCCAGCTCCAGGGCCCCAGTGCTATTTCACGGAGAGTTGGTGATTCTATACGACCCTATTTCAGTATTCTTTACTGTAGACCGGGGATCTGCAAACCCACAGACCAAATCTGGCTCTCAGCCTGTTTCTGTGTAATCCTTGATGGGAATGGTTTTTAGACTTTTAAAGGTGTTGTTTTAGAGAGACAGACAGACAGACATACAGATAGATAGATAGACAGACAGACAGACACAGATACGGTATGAGGCCCATCAAAACCTAAAGTACCTCTTTCTCACCCTTTACAGGAAAAGTTTGCTGTCCCTTGCCCAAGATGGACGATCCCTAGCTGTGGGCCCACTTCCCCAGCCACCCTTGTGAAGTGGACTTACGCACATAGAAGCATTCATGTGTCTTGGGGTCACTTTGAAAGCCCAATAGTCAGTCGGCAGCTCTCAGTCCCTATTTCTCTATTTCCTGACCTCGTCATTTACCACACTTTCTTACTTTTTTCTCTTTCAGCTGGTCGAGCATTATTCTTATAAAGCAGATGGTTTGTTAAGAGTTCTTACAGTCCCATGTCAAAAAATCGGCTCACAGGGTAAGTTCCCGAGACACTGGAGTCTCCGTTTTTGAGCTATCAGTGACAATCAGCCTCACTTTAGACTTAACTGATTGCAGATTTGGGTTGGATAAGGACTTCTTTTTATGGAATGATTAATAATGATGTCAGATAACTCCAATTTTGCATATTATGAATCAAAAAATTGCCAGTTGCAACTAGTAATAATTTATCTTAATTGCATGTGGGAAAAAGTAAAAGAGGATCAAAAGAGGTACCCACAGAAAGTGTGCTCCCTTCTCAAGCAGAGCACCTCTGATCTCATTGATTGATCAGCAGTGGGGAGGGGAAGGAAGTGGTTTCCACGAACAGAGCAGTAATTGTCCATGCTCTCTCTAAGCAGGAAATAATGTTAATTTTGGAGGTCGTCCACAGCTTCCAGGTTCCCATCCTGCGGTAAGTGTCGTTAGGAACACCACTGAATGAGAAGCTGTTGCATATTCATAATCACAAATGAAAATAAAGTTTTAGCCAACAGGAGTAGTGGTCATTGAGATTTTGATTGCCCTTCAAAACATACTCCATGATGAGCTGGGACTACTAATGCGTATTAGGCAGAATCAGCCTACTACTGGCCACGTTTTCTTTCTTTCTTTTTTTTTTTTTTTTTTTGAGACGGAGTCTCATGTCACGCAGACTGGAGTGCAGTGGTGCAGTCACAGCTCACTGCAACCTCTGCCTCCTGGGTTCAAGCCATTCTCCTGCCTCACCCTCTCTAGTAGCTGGGCTTACCGGTGCCTGCCACCATGCCCGACTAATTTTTGTATTTTTTAGTAGAGATGGGGTTTTGCCATGTTGGCCAAGGTGGTCTCAAATTCCTGGCCTCAAGTTATTCTCCCGCCTCGACCTCCACAAAGTGCTGAGATTACAGGCATGAGCCACCACTCCCTGCCTAGCCACATTTTCTTAACTTCTTGTCCAGGTGAAATTCTCTTCATTTTTTGGAGAATATACACAACGACGAGGAAACCCAGTATTAAATCAGAAATAGGCCTCTTGCAATATTTGAGAAACAGGAATGTATTTTTTAACTTCATCCTTGAGCTGTCTACGTTAACACACCTGTGTAATCCACAGAACCCCAGCTCTCTCCTCTCTCCAGCCTGTTAGGAGGTCAGGCACAGATTTATGCTCTAAGCAGGAATTCTCTTCCTGCACTTCTTTCGGGGACTTCACATGGACTTTCTATGCCTTTTAATGCCATCTGTGAAGTACGCCCTCTGCACCTCACTTTTTGCTTGGTAACACTTGAAAAACAAAATCTGCAGAAAGCCAAATATGTGTCCTGCCTCCAGTAGGGACAATTGTCTGCTCCGTGCTGCGCCCAGGTTGAAACAGGGGAGGCCGTCCAGGGTCAGCACTTGTTATCAAATGCAGGGAATTTGAATTTGCTAAGATACCAGTGAACTTTGGGATCAAAATGTAATTCCTTTATGGGGGTATGACTTCATTTTGCCCTTTACAAGGCTCGCAGGCCTGGCAACTCTACCCTAATATTATAGGCTCCATGAGACAGATCCATATACTTCAGATGGATGAGGGCTTAGGGCTGAGAACTCTTAAAAGAATGTCAAGCCCTGTGCTTAGCCATCATCACCCAATGGCTTCAAGAACTTAGATATTTTGGAATAACTTTTTAATTGACTGGTAAAATACATATGGAAATATGCAGAGGCCCCAAGTATACAACTCAATGAATTTCCACAAATTTTCCACCATGGACCAGCACCCACCATGAAGAAGCAATACAACTGAGCACTCAGATCTACTTGTAGTTTCTTTAGGGTAGTTTGTCTTGAGCTTGTGACTTAGTAGATCCACAAGAAGCATGAGCTAGTAAATGTAACAACTCTAATGTTTTAGCCTTCAGTGGAACATATTTCCCAAATATATTTCTAGATCCTTCTCCCCAAGTGGCAGGCCTTTCCAGAAGCCTTCCCAATGATCAGATGTTTCCTGTGATGGATCTCATGGGCAGGGGCAGGAGGGCGTTAGCAATGCAATTATAGAAGCGAGTTTAAGTAGCATGTCATGGAAGGGATCCTGTATTTGTTTTCTGAAACATTTACTCTTCCTCTTTGCTGTTGTGGTTTCTAGACTTGGTCAGCGGGTGGAATAATCTCAAGAATCAAATCATACTCCTTCCCAAAGCCTGGCCACAGAAAGGTGCTAAAGTATCCCCTGCTTGCTGTCCAACTAAGTGGTAGGACCAACCTGCACTCAGCTCCCGCCCGCCCAGCCTGCCCTACGTGTGCGCTGCCCTCCACCTGTTGCCACTCTGCTTCCAGGCCTCTTTGCCCTTGCTCACACCTGCGGATCCTGGGCAGCCGCGCCCCAGGTACATCCTGTGCTTTTCATGTGGGTCCTCAGTCCGTCAGCTGGAAGTCCATCAGTGTGAGCATGCTTTCTCTGCCCAAGCATTATTTTAAAGTCGTTTCAGTTGGCATCATCTGTCGTAGCTAATTGTCACGTTGGAAAATCTTTTCAAAGATGGCCAATTTACTTTTTGGTGGCCAGAATCATGTGTTGCAGTGTTCTGGTAATTGATTATGTAAGTTACCTTGTGCCGCAGGGAACGCCAAGGTCTTGTGAGGTGTCCTGTCCAGTGAGGTCAGGCAGTGCATGGTGGCTTCATTACGGCTTAGACATCAAACGCAGAACTGCTAATGTGATATGTAAAGAAAGGTGCAATCTGAGGACTAGAAAAACCAGTTTTCTTTTTGAGGCAGTAATGTTGACATCTGATTGATTTCCATGTTTTGTTCTATTATTGGATTTTGAGGGAGAATAAAAATAACTTCTTTTTAGTGACTTCTATTTATAATGACTCGTTCATTCCTTCCTTCAAAATATGTATATGTAATGTGTTTGAATTGCTTTTTTTCCCATCCCTACTTTCATTATCAGTGGGGTGAAATTGATTCTTTTATCAGTAATTCTTTTTATTTTTATATTAACTGGTGTTTTTACAACATTTTAGCATACAATTTAGCTTCCACTCATGAAGTAGGTTGCCTAAAGTATTTATTAGAAACAACGGAAATAAAAGGCATAAAATCCCTTAGAGTTTATTTACTAAAAATTTTCCGAGTTTAGTCATACTCAAAAAGTTCTCAATCATGTTGACTATAGAAGAGAAAAATTTAACGCAGGAAGAAAAGGTGTATCTTACACCTAAATAAAATAACTATGTCTGTTTTTCATGTTTACCCAAGGCAAAACACCCCCACAGATTACTCACAGTGCCTAAAGAAATACCTAGAAAATAAGTTTTAGCGTTTAGACTACAGGAGAACATGTTGGAAAAAAATTGAAGAAAATATCAGTAAATGTGACCATCTAAAAATAAAGAAATATATGTATGGATAAGAACCATAACATCATCGAGAGAAATAAGATACTGGGAATAAGTAGCACTAATGCTGACACATAGATTAGTAGCTTTAATATACAAAGAGATTCTATAAATCAATAAGAAAGATATTAACTGTCTACTAGGATAATGGGCAGGGAATATCAGTAGTAGTTTATACTAAAGCAAATATAAATAGTTCTTATACATATGAAATGTTGTTTAACTTCATGAGAAGGGAAATGCAAGTGAAAACTATGGTGCTCAAGCACCCACCTATGAAACTGATCCACATTTTAAAAGCTTGATAATACTGTAGTAAAGGCGTGGTAGATAAGCACTTTCACTCTTCCTTGGGGAAGTCTGAAATGATAAAATCTGTAAGAAAAGCTCTGCAATTTTATTTCTAAGTATATACAGATATTCTTGCATTTATGTGAAATCATGTACATGTGCAGGTGTTTATTCCAAAATTACATGATTGACAAAGTCTGATAACAATTTAAATGCCCATCAATGGAAAACAAATGAAATCAGTTACAGTAAAGTTGCGACTATGGGAGGCAGCTGAGATCTAGGATTGTTTCCAAAATGTAATTTTAATTGTAAAAGACAATGTCATGCACACACGTGCACACACACATACACACACATATATACAGAATGTCTTGAGATCGTATAGAGTATCCTAGAAAAATACAGAAAATACTGGCAATGCTGATTGCCTCCAGAGTAAGAGATGGGAATGTTAAGAAGCCCCACTTTTCATTGTAAACTCTGTTGTATCTTTTTAAATTTGAACCTGCTAAAAATTTTTAATCAGTTTTTTAAAACAGAGAATTAAATATTAGAGAGTAACTAATCTGATTAATATTGTGAAAATACCTCTCTGGCAAAAAAAGAGTTTGCTTTCTATTTAAATTTATAACCAACTTTAAAGTATACATTGAATTCTTTACAGAAATAAGAAGCTGGGAATAAGTATTACTAATAATATATGAAGCCAAAAATATTGATAGATAATTTTTAAAAGATCAAGATTATATAGTTTAAGCTATAGATGATAAATATTTTAATTGCTTATCAGATATATTTTAGAGCTAATAAGTATATTTTCCCAAATACATGGGGAACTTTCCATTATGTAATCAGTCATGAGAAAAGAATTGTGAGTATTATGTTAAATATCCCATCTCATTAGCTAAGAGATAAATAACTTTCTTCAACTTGTTAATTTGCTCAATGCAAGTAGTTGTTTTAATAATTCAGGCACAAAAAAATGCATGTTAGAATTTGAATTACCTATAGCTTCTAGATAGTTAATGAAAAGTATGTTTCGATTTGAAGATGATTATGAATCAGGTAATTTAAATTTTTCATAAAATTACTAACAGGCTGATGCGTTTTAAACTTGTCTTTAGAAATCACTAACATACTGCTGAACGCAGTGGCTCACGCCTGTAATCCCAGGACTTTGGGAGGGTGAGGCAGATGGATGACTTGAGGTCAGGTTTGAGACTAGCCTGGCCAACATGGTGGAAACCCATCTCTATTAAAAATACAAAAATTAGCCAGGTATGGTGGCATGTGCCTGTAATCCCAGCTACTCGGAGGCTGAGGCAGAAGAATCACTTGAGCCTGGGAGGCAGAGGTTGCAGAGATCATGCCACTGCACTCCAGCCTGGGAAATCGAGCAAGATTCTATCAAAAAAAAAAAAAAAGGAAAGAAAGAGAGAAAGAAGAAAGAAAGAAAAAAAGAAAAAGAAAGAAAGGAAGAAAAAGAAAGGAAGGAAGGAAGGAAGGAAAGAAGGAAAAGAAAAAAAGAGAAAAGAAATTAGTAACATACTTATAAAATATAAACAAACTTAAGAATACAATTAGTAGTCTTTAAATGAATTAAACCCCTCCTAGTATTAGTCCTGGAATTTGTTTCTCTGCTGCTTTAAGCACTGAACCTTATCCTTTTATGGAAAATAGGTGGAAATTGAACAGCAGCATCCCTAAACACTTCCAGGGAGCTTTTCAGCTTCGCATCTCAAAGGTAAATCCTCTAAGAAGATTAAACTGAAATATGTCCCAGAATTTCCAATTAAAACCCATTTTTCATGTTTTATTCCAACACATACATTGGTTATTATAATATTTTAAAACTTACATTTAAGTACAGGGCCCAGTGGGAAGAGAAAAAAGAAAGAAACATTCTCAAGTCATACCCTTTTTGCTCGGTAATGCCTTAGTAGACCAGACCCTGGAGAAAATGTGTTTTCATACAATTATAAAGGAACAGATTTTAGGTCTTTGCTGTAAGAGAAGAGTAATTGCAGGTGTCAGGTGTTATTTTCACTGATCTCAAGTGCAACGCTAATAGTAGCTTATTTCCCAACCAACAGTCCACCCTCATCTGTGGGGATCTACTGGGCCAGGGTCATTCCACCGAAAAAAGGAAAGCACGCCTAGTTTATTGCAGCCAATATTTCTAAAGCCAACTGGCTCTTTTGTCACTGTTATTGTGATGACTGATGACTATATTGCCATCTACATTACTGCTAGAACAAATTCCAGGACTAATACTGGGAGGGGTTTAACTCATTTAAAGACTAGTAGTTGTATTATTAAGTTAATTTTGTTTATATTTTATAAGTATGTTACTGATTTTTTTTCTTTTATTGTGATGACTGATGACTGTATTGCCGTCTGCATTACTAATTTGAACATGTCCCAAGAATCTGGGAGTAAAAATTAACATCTAATAAATGGATGTTAGGATACTTGGCAATCAGGAAACTCTGAATGGGCCTATCAGTTACATAGAGCAATAATTTTTTCCTATTTTGTTCATTTCTAGATCCCCAGCTTTTAAACATAGGCACTGAAAAAATACTTGTCAAATACATTTTCTATCTGCAGTTAAACCTTACCAATAAGAAATCAGGGACAATAATTTATAACCAAACTTATTATTGCAGAGTGATGTCCTTACCTGAATTTATAAAATTTAAGGAAAAGTCACCAGTTGCTCTTTCGGAAGGTAGAAAGCTAAGGTGGCTAGTGCCATCTAGTGGTGGACTGTGGGTTTGAGCCTCTTCTGAGTATTGGTAAAAATGAGGAAAATGGAATGGTCAACGTTTCATTTACACCTGTTGTTCACTGTGCAGAACAGATGACACTTATTGATTGGGACAGAATAGAGCTCCCAAATACAAATGCAGACATAAAGAATAAAAGGCAAATAATAATAATGTAGACCGGCATTTTTTATTAAAATTATTTATTTTTATAAATAAAATAAAATAAAATAATTTTATTTTTCATTAAAATTAAAAATTATTTTTTAAAAATAATTAATATTTTTACAATTTATCATTATGCCTCTGTGCTCATTCTTTACAAACTCCTCAAATTTTTCTTTATAACTGAGCATTTTCTTTTAGAGGTTGTTCTGGTTATTGTTCTACCAAGTTGCTTATTCACCAAGGGCTTTGTGAAAAATGAAATGTGCATTTTGCACCTTCATCTTAATCATAAGGAAACCACTCACTGTTCTTTTAACAGACTCAATAGGAAGCCTCCCATTTCTTCTGCATTCTTCCAATTGTGGTATCATCCTTTGCTCCAGTCTCATTAGTCACCAGAAAGAAATAGGGGCAGGGAGCCCAGGACTCTGGGTAGGAGAGAGCTGATGTGGTGTTATTGAGAGACATGAGGGTTCTTTGTGGATTGGCTTAAAACGCTCATCATCACATAGTGGTCCATGTTTGGCGGCATGGAAATGAAGCCCCGAGCTACCTTAGCTGTAAACGTGGAGTTCTAACTTCCAAGGAAGATCCCGCATCTGTCTCCCTATCCACAAGCCAAGATAGACTAGGGTTGAACGACACACTGCTAGTGAGAGTATAAATTATTCCTGCCCAGGATGTTAGATTCTCTGTGTCCATCACTACTAATTCTTACTGATTCCTGACACCCTAGTATCCTTTTCAGCATATTTTGACAACCCCATCTCTGTTTTAAAATTCTTCCCTACAGGATTCATATGTCAGGGAATTGCATTCTGGTTTAATTGGAACAAGCCATTTGGAAGTCCTGGTCTGGATAAGAGTAGAGAGGCTGTAGCCCCAAGAATAATGTGCTCCATGGGAGGGAGAGGAGTCTTACATCAAGAAGCGGCGATAGTCCCTTTCCTTGCCTGTGATGGCTAATCTGAGGACATCCTTTAATTCCATGTCTGTTCAAGTTTTGTCTTTGGATCTCAGAATGTGCCTACTTGCAAGGAAAATCAAAGGAGTTGAAATGACAGTAAATGTTAACCCTGAAATAGGCTTAAAAAAAAAAAACTATTTTCAGCCTAGAATTGGTTGCGGGAGGCAACTGAGCAAAAGAGGAGGATGGAAAGCCTTGGCAATCACCCAGTTTCTGTTAAGACAGTTTTCCAGAGGCAAGATAATTGTATTATAAACCAGAAGTGAAACCACGGCACGGTCCTATAATCACATGTAAATGTTTAGAAGAAATAGATTGTCATTTGGAATTATTCATTCTTATTTCTCTTCATTAGCATAAAGACTTGAGAGAGAGCTAATTTTTAAAGCACGTTAGTTTATACTTCGCATATCCTGGTTTTAGAAGTGATTTTCATTCATTCGCCCATCCATTCATTCATGTGTTTGTCCAACACATTTTTATTGAGCATCCTTGTGGATGTGGCACAGCTCCCAATGTGGTGAACAAATGTCTATGCCCCCTGGAACTTATATTCTATTTTCATTTGATGTATCATAGTTACTTGTGTTAATCAGTGCAGTAAGAATGCTGAGATAGTCTATGAGAAAATGGATCCCATCAACATCATTTTTATAATCACAGCAAATGTTCTTTACCCTCGTCAATGGGCTCCGACCATGGTGAGCAGTGCCTGCCTCCGAAGTGCTCAGCAGACTGTGTGAAAGAAGGACGTCTGGGTGTTTGGAGAGAATGGCTTAGTGGCCGTAGAGGTGCATTGTGACTTCATTATTCTGCTTGTAGTTTCTGGGCTTGTAATATTCATAAGGCAGATGAGGATTTAGTGTGTGTCATAAGATAAGTGACTGTCATGTTAAGCTTAATGTCTCTGTTTCTTTAACTTTCTCCAAAATCTGGCAGTATCTCATTTCTTCGTGGCCAGTGTTCGGGCACTGAGAAGGTCAATCGAGGTATAGAATTGCGACTCAACTCACTCCAAAAAAAAAAAAAAGCATCTGAATCATGGTTCTCCTATGAATTAAATATAGTGACAAGAAGCCAGAATCTTGTTTTAATTTGGAAGAAAGGGTGGGTCAGGAAAACTCAAGATAGAGACTTGTAAAAGGGAAAAGGGAAAGTCCTTAGGATCATAAGGAGTAGATTCCCCCACCCCGTTGTTTCACGATATAAACTGATGTGGATCAAATAAATAATAGAGAAGAATGCTGTTAACAGGCTGCAAAACTTTGTCTCAGATATGCCCCTGTTACCTGCTGTAGGTATTCGGAAGAACTGCCTTCTTTCAGCTGCACAAAAATGGAGCCCCAGTCTCACAGGGACGCTGATTTCCAGCAGCAGCCCTGGCGGCAGCAGCTGGCCTTCCCCTGGGACCTGTAGTCACTGACCAGTGCCACCCTCTGGCATCCACCCCAATGCTGCTGCATCTCCACCGAAGATAAAGACTTGGGTGGAGACTAGGAAAACATGCGTGGTTTGGAGTTGGGAAGTAGGTGGGAGCAGCTAATAAGTACTAATTCCCCTCTTTAAATAGCCTCTATATAATATGAAATTGAGGAGCATGAGTTAAAGGAGGAAAATGCATCCAAGGGAAACATGCAAATCATCAGCGACCTTCGGCAGGTGGGAATAGGATGTGCATGGGGGTGAGTGGGGGAGCACCTGTATCCAGGCCAGTAGAGTTGACTCACCACATCCTCTGAACACCCCGCAGGGTCCCTTAAGTTGTAGCAGCACAAGCTTGCTTTCGCCCTTGCAATATCCAAATAATTGCCCGAAGAATGAGATCAGCCTTATTTTCTTTCTTGTTTTTCTTAATTCTTTCCTTTGTCTTTCCTGCAAAAGTTAAAGCGTGATTTCTAAAAAATAGTTATGCAGATCAACTTAACATTTGTATGGATGAAAAAAACGACCTGTTGTCCTTCTGTACTTTAGCCCTCCCCTGCCCAAGGGAACCGGCCAGAGAGTACCGTGTCATTCAATCCGTATGAGCCCGAAGTTGGGCCCTGGACTGCAGAAAAAGGTGAGACTTGCTTTCATTCAAGGGACATTCACAGAGCAAGGCGCGTGGTCACTTGTCAGTTTGTAGAGTTGGTTCACGAATCCACCCCGTGTCTGTGATTTTAATACAGCACAGTGAGCTGTGGAGACACTCACATCTAGTGGCAGGCAGTAGACACCATGCCCATGAGCAGTGGTAGTGCTTTGCAATGAGATGGTCTTTCCCACCTCCCTCACCTAGTGACATTGGAAACGTCCATGCTGCTCTTCAGAATTTCTCATCCCTTATAACCTTGATGCTGCTCTGAGTTCACACTCCCATGAAGATGATGTTCTTGGAAGGATCAGTCCTGATGTGGGGTCCAGCCCCAGGTTGTATGATTCTTGTCTGCATTGCAGGCCCCCAGAGAGAAGCACTGCCCATGGACACAGAGGTGTACGAGAGCCCCTACGCAGACCCTGAGGAGATCAGGCCCAAGGAGGTTTACCTGGACCGAAGTCTGCTAACGCTGGAAGACAAAGAACTGGGCTCTGGTAATTTTGGAACTGTGAAAAAAGGCTACTACCAAATGAAAAAGTAAGTCACTATGCTCCACTGCACGGCTCTCACCCTCACACGAGCCCAGGTTCTAGACGCTACTGAGAATAACAAAATATAACCTGGCATGACTAACCCCTTTTTAAAGTAATGCTATTATTATTGTTAATTTCTGGTACACTATAATGAAAGTAACCATGACTTTTAATGGCAAAAACTGCAATTACTTTTGCACCAACCTAATAGTACGTGCACCTTATGAAAAATTAGAAAACAGAAACAAGCAGAAACATAAGAAAATGAAAACATCAATCTAGCATAGTAGTTCGTGCCTGGAATCTTAGCACTTTGGGAGGCTGGGGTAGACGGATTGTTTGAGGCCAGGAGTTTGAGACCGGCCTGGGCAACATAGCAAAACCCTGTCTCTACAAAAAACTTTCAAAAATTAGCCAAGCATGGTAGTGCACACCTATAGCTCCAGCTACTCAAGAGGCCAAGAGGTCAAGCCTGCAGTGAGCCATGATTGCACCACTGCACTCCAGGCTGGGTGACAAAGCAAGGCCCTATCTCAAAAAACGAACCAAAAAAAAAAAAAAGAAAAAAAAAGAAAGAAAAGAACAGCATCACATTTGGATAATACCACGCCAACACTGCTGTTAATTAAACACTACTGCTGTTAACTAACCTTATGGTATACATTTTTAGAGCTTTATTTGTACACACACATACATATTATTTAATTTAAAAAAATCATTCTATTGATTTTATTTCAATCAACTGAAATAAAATCATTGTTATAAAACAATGCAGTGTTTACATTTATTTTGTTTGATTTTATAGTTATGTCTCATTTTTCTTACTGAGAAAATTATTGGTCCCAAATATGATTAGCATAATTGTTTATTGGCTATGTCCTATGATTTCAAATAACAATACATATTATATAACAGTTAAAATTGCTAAATTTATAAAATGTCTTTGTATTTCTTTTGGTCTTTGGAAGGTATCTGGCATAGAATAAAAATACTGGTTTCTAAAGTCCTTTGAAACATACCCTCTGTTTGAATTGGTATGATACTAATATGAATGTGGTTGAATGTAGTTGTTTCATGCTATTTCAAATTTAAGGAAATTGTTTTAAAAAAAATCTCATGAGTAGGTCATTTATATGATTGAAGGGTTAAAAATATAGACAAAAATATACACAGAAATGCTTGCTTTCATGCCTGCAATCCCAGCACTTTGGGAGGATGAGGCATGTGGATCACCTGAGGTCAGGAGTTTGAGACCAGCATGGCCAACATGGTGAAACCCCGTCTCTACTAAAAATACAAAAATTAGCTGGGCGTAGTGGTGCATGCCTGTAATCCCAGCTACTCGGGAGGCTGAGGCAGGAGAATCGCTTGAACCCAGGAGGAGGAGGTTGCACTGAGCCAAGATGGCGCCACTGCACTCCAGCCTGGGCAACAGAGTGAAACTCCATCTCAAAAAAAAAAAAAAGAAAGAAAGAACAAAGAAATGCTTGCTTTCCAATCTGTCCCTTCCATTTGTTTTTGTGTATATGTATGTGTATACATATATAATACACACATGTATATATACACACATGGATATGTATACATTCACAAGTATATATAGGAGCACATATATGTACACACAAAATTGGTTGTGATACTTATTTTAAAATATGTTCGTATATCACGGTCATTTTGTACAATGATTAAAAATGTTTCTGTATTAATCATAAGCTTTTTCAGTTTATGAAAGATTGTGATCTTTAATTGTCTGCTTAAATTTGTGAATTAACAGAGACAGGAGTGTGGACATAATTTCACTTAGTCTGGGGAGAGGAGAGGCTCTCTTGGTTAATTTGGGGCAAAATGATGTCTTTACAATGTCGAGTCTTTCAAGCTATAAACACAGCTCATCCCTCCATTTACTAGGTCTTCTTTAACCTCTCTCAGGTTTCTCTCAGGAGAGTTGTTTACCTTTTCAATGTATTGCATTTATATGTATGCTTTTAAATTCTGCAACTAGAAATTCACTTTCAACATTTACTAAAGGCATTTTATATCCACCTATTCATTACACATAATCTGAGATGGTGAATCACAAGATGTCACAGGAATTCATGTATGTCACTGTTGGTGAGGTTTATTTACAAGTTATTTAAATATTTTACAATTTAGGGTTTTTGCTTGGTTGGGGCATTCTTCAGTACTGTTCTTCACCATTCTTTTTATTTTATTTTATTTTATTAGAAACAGGATTCACTCTGCCACCCAGGCTGGAGTGAAGCTCACTGCAGCCTCGAACTCCTGAGTCCGAGTGACTCTCCCACCTCAGCCTCCCAAGCAGCTGGGACTGCAGGCTTGCACTGTCACGCCTGGCTGACTTTTTTTAGAGATGGGGTATCACTATGTTGCCCGGGCTGATCTTGAACTCCTGGCCTCAAGCAATCCTCCCCATTCAACCTCTGAAAGTGTTAGGATTATCAGCATGAGCCACCATGCCCAGCCCCAGCCCCCACCATTCATTTTTAGTAATGGGGTATTACTCTCATTGTCTATAAAATAAGTGAGGGTAATTGGAAGGCCGGCCATTCATTACAAACTTCTGAAGACACATTTCCACTCTGTGGCAGGTATTTCCATGGGACCGTTTCTGCGTGGGGATTATGCTTCATAAAAGAAGATCATCTAGAAGTGAGGCATTTTGATTAATGATTTGAGCGTTACGATTTCTCCTGCAGAGTTGTGAAAACGGTGGCTGTGAAAATACTGAAAAATGAGGCCAATGACCCTGCTCTTAAAGATGAGTTATTAGCAGAAGCAAATGTCATGCAGCAGCTGGACAACCCGTACATCGTGCGCATGATCGGGATATGCGAGGCCGAGTCCTGGATGTTGGTCATGGAGATGGCGGAACTCGGTCCCCTCAATAAGTATTTGCAGCAGAACAGGTATTGTCGGGTGCCCCCACGGGCCTGGGATCTATCCCCCGAAGGGCGGGGCACATGACTGGATGGGCCAAGCAGCCTGATTTCCTCAGGGAGACTTCCCACCCTCCTGTGCCTTCCCTTATTGGTCCACACTCAGGTTCCTTGACAGAGGGACAGACGGAGACACAGTCTTTGGCATCAGCTCTGTTAGCTCTAGTCGTTCAGAGAAGAATTCATTCGAGACTTTTGCCTTTCTTTTTTTCCTGTGCTCTTTCAGTCTTGGCGCAGGGATAGACTCCGCCTTAGAATCATATCCTGACGACAAATCTCCTTTCTCACTGGGAAGAACACTTTCTTTTTAAAGAAACATTTAAAATAAACATTTTTCTAAGAGGTGACAGTTATGTCTTATCTGTTTGGCTGACCTTATGTTCTCATGAGTAATGACTTCTGAAAATACCAATCGCTGCTAATTGATTACATCCGTCAAGGGAGTAATCGTGTTCTTCTCATCTAAAGCTATGTTGAGATAGGGAAACTCACTTGGAGTAAAACAGAATAATAACCACCAAGGAGCTTGCCTTCTTTGCTGCACTACGTTTCTGCTTAGATTGCCTCTTTAGTCTCTGCGGAAGGGAGGTGTTCTTACCCTTACCTCGTAGGTGAGAAACCGAGGCGCAGGGTTCGTTCTGTGAGCTGTGCATAGTGGAACAAGGATTTGAGGTGTGCCTGGCTGTCTGTGAGCCAGGTCCGACCACCCTGTTATACTGCTTTCCTTGCAATTCCAAACATGCCAGGAAACTATCCCACTGAACACCAGGAGAATGACATTCAGTCCTGAACAGCTATATGCTGATAAAGTGATTCGTCACCACTTGTGAGTTTTATTGTTAGAGAGAAGCAATAGATTCGCCTACTGCCTTCACGAGGGGCATGGTTGTTTGTTGTGAAATGGGTCACTGTCTCCTATAGCTGATGATATTGTTGTGACTTTCAGACATGTCAAGGATAAGAACATCATAGAACTGGTTCATCAGGTTTCTATGGGCATGAAGTATTTGGAGGAGTGCAATTTTGTGCACAGAGATCTGGCTGCAAGAAATGTGTTGCTGGTTACTCAGCATTATGCCAAGATCAGTGATTTTGGACTTTCCAAAGCACTGCGTGCTGATGAAAGCTACTACAAGGTGAGCACAACTTAGCTAATACTCACAGCAGCGGGCGGTAGAAAATGCAAGATACATATATGTTTGTTTCGTTATTGATACAGTTTCAAAAAGCAGTTTTGCTACTTAAAAATAACTAAGAAATGTTCTTATAATCTTTGATTTTATTGTTTAAAAAATAAAAGTACTTTAATATATGACACCTTGAGATTTGCTCAGAGTAGTATATTCTAAATTATGTTTCATGGAGTGATCAGGAATCAAGGTATTAAGTGATGATTCATTTTGGAAAGAAAGAAGAATGGGATTCCTTCATTAGGTTCGTTTGAAAGGTTTGCATTGGACAGTTTGATTCTTGCAGGATTCCCCCAAGCCCTTTTCACGCTGCTCAACATGGCGAATCCCAGCGGAGGGTTTTGCCACACTGCGTCTCTCAAACCAGATTCATCCACGGCATCCTTTTCTGATAGGACATTTCATAACATCTGGTGGAACACCGTTCCAGGGCAGGCAGCTTGGAGCGATTCCAAAAGAACCTTCTAATGAACACCTCTCTATACATGTAAAAGTTAGAAAGTGAAAATTTATCAAATACGCTCATCATCTGTGTATGTCCACTAAGTATGTTGAAATTGTTCTATTGTCTTAGTTGGTACCCAGAAGAACTGAAGTGTCAAAAAACAAATGCAGTGCTGGAAAGAAGAGATCTAGAGAGTTACGTGACCGAAGCTGAAAGAAATATGCCCCTTAGTTTGGTGAGGCAGAGATTATCAAGAATTAAAGATGGACTTCCAGCAAAACATGAAGTGGAAACTAGTTCTGGGTATAGGTTTGGACTTCCTAAAAAATAATTTCACAGTGACCAATCCCCTTGCTGATACGACTTGACCCCTCTCTGAACCCTCAAAGGAACCAATAACAACTAATAGACAAAATTAAAAAGCTTCATCTTCATATTAACTCATCCATGGTATATATATAGGGTTTATGTTGACCAACTGGAAAATGTGATGGAATTGGGACCCACTGAGTCAAAGAGGGAGCCGAGGGCAGGCTGACAACTCTTCTGGTCTCTGGTGAAGTCCACGTGCTCAGAAATAGATGGCTGACCCTGAAAATCTACCTAGTGGATGGCAGATGGGGTCCTGAGTTTCATACCCTGCAGTGGTCACAGACCCCACCCTGAGTGACAATACTCGCCCACTCACCTTTCCCCGAGAGGCAGTTCATGAACCGGTGGGTGATGGGGAATGGTGGACCTCAGCCAGCAAAGGGACTGCATGAAGGGTGAGTCACAAGAGCTGAGCTTCCAGGCAGGCAGGCGGACGCCATTGTCTTGAGCACAAAGGCCAGGCAGGAGAACGGCAGGGCTCAGGCTGGCCCTCCTCACCCCATTCTTCATGCAGTAGCTTCCCAGAGGGAAGCCCCTTCAGAGGTGAGCCACTGTGAGAAGGGCATCAGCAGGGGCCTGGATAGAGACAACAGGAAAATGGAGCAAAGGAGACAGCAGCCTAGGATGAGCCGCACAGGACATACTGGAGAAAGAAGCCTGTTGCAACGCTGGGTGTACCTCATCGTGACCTCATCATGAGCATTAGAGAGAAGACAGCCTGTCTGAAACAAGGACACAGAGGAGATAGAAAAAATGAAACATGAATGCTGGTCCCCTTATCCACTGCTGCATAACAAACCACCCCAAACTTAGAGCCTAAAACACCACCAGGTGTTGGTTTCCTTGCAGTCCTGCTGTGTGGGCAGGGCCAGGTGGGCAGAGCTTGGTGCACCTGCTCACACAGGGGCTTGTACGGTGGCGCAAAGGGCAAGAGGACCATTTTCACTCTGCTCACTCACACTACTCAGCCACTGAGCAGCTGGTTAGACGTGGCCCATGCTGGGGACCTCTGCAGGGCTGTCAGCTCACCTACACACAGCCTCTCCTTGGGGTCCCTGGGCTTCCTCACAGCATGGCAGCTGTAGCCTGAGAGCAGTTACCCAAGAGACAGGAAGTGGGGACTGCCAGGCCTGTAAGGGCAAGCCCAGAAACTGCCTCAGGGTCACTTCCGCCTGATCCTATTGGTCAGAGCAGCCACAGCCTGCCAGCTTCGTAGGATGGGATAGATAGAACCACCCTTGAGAGGAGACGTGTTCGGTTATTCCAGAGAGAGGCTAGCTTCCATTGCATTTAGGATTTGTCAAAGATTTACTTTTTTCATCAGCTCAAAATTCAGAAGAAACTTGAAATAACACACATGGCTATATCGTTCATGACTTGTAAGATCAAAATTTTAAAATAGTGCAGCACAAGGTGATAGAAACAGAGGTATAATCAGCATACAGATGGCCAACAGGCATATGAAGAAATGCTCAGTATCACCAAACATCAGGGAAGTGCAATTTACAAACACGATGAGATATCTTACCCCAGCTAGGATGGCAATTACTAAAACGATAAAAAAATAATAACAGGTGCTGGCAAGGATGCAGAGAAAAGGGAACTCTTATACACTGTTTGTGGGAATGTAAATTAGTATAGTCACTATGGAAAATAGTAGAGAGACTTCTCAAAATAAAAACAAACTATACATAGAACGACTGTGTGATCCAACAATTCTGCTAGTGGGTATTTATGCAAAGGAAATAAACTTGTGTATCAAAGGGATACATACACTCACATGCTTGTCATAGACTGTTCACAATAGCAAAGTTGTGGAATCAAGCTAAGTGTCCATCAATGGGTGAGTGGATTAAGAAAATGTGGCATATATCTATATTTTTTTCTTATACATTTTCATATATATATATATATATATATATACACACATACACACAGACACACACACACACACACACACACACACAATGGAATTCTATTTGGCTGGAAAAAGAATGAAATTATGTCATTTACTGTAACATGGATGGAACTAGAGGTCATTATATTAGATGGCATAAGCCAAGTACAGAAAAGACAGATGCCACATGTTCTTGCTGATGTGTGGAAGCTAAAAAGAGAGAGAGAGAGAGAGAGAGAGAGAGATCTCGATCTCATGGAGATAGAAAATAGAATGATAGATACCAGAGGCTAGGAAGGGTGTGTGGGTGGGAGTGGGGATGAAAGAGGTTGGTTAATGGGTACAAACGTACAATTAGACAGAACAAATGAACTCCAACATTTGATAGTGGAGTGGGGTGGCTATAGTTTGCAACATTATATTGTATATTTGAAAGTTGCTAGAAGAAAGGGCTTGAAATGCTCCCAACACATAGAAATTATAAGTACTCAAGGCGACAGACACCCCAAGTACCCTGACTTGATCATTACACATTCCATGCATGTAGTAAATACATGTACTCTATAAATATGTAAGATATTTGGAATCAATGTAAAAAAAAAACAAAAAAATGAAATAATTGGCATTGGCTTAAAACTGTGGACAAATGCACAATAGTACTTAAATATACTTATGAACAGCCCAATATTTCTTAGAGCAAAACCATAAAGTAATATTCAGGCTTGATTTGTCTATTGCCATCTACATGCTCCATGAAGCTATGGGTGGTCATAAAAAGCGACGAGAGTAGACTAAAAGATGCAAGATTTTATCCTGAATCTTCAAAAAAAATATATATATATATACACACGCATACACATACACACACGTATGTATATATTCAAATTTTTAAAAAGAATTTTAAAGCTTTTAAGATTTAATAAAATCTTTAAAATTCAAACTAACCACACATACACACACACAGCATTTTGTGGGTCAGGATTTTATTCTTTGTTAAAATTGTGATAAAATACATGTAACATAAAATTTACCAGCTTAATCATTTTTATGTGTACAGTTTGGCAGTGCTAAGTACATTCATGTTGGACAACCAATATTCAGAACTCTTTTCATCTTCCAAAACTGAAACTCTGTCCCCATCAAACACTAACTCCCCATTCTCCCCTCCCCTCTAGTCTCTGGCAACCAGCATTCTACTTTCTGTCTGTATGAATTTAACTACTCTTGGTTCCTCACCAGAACCATACAGCATTTGTCCTTTGGTGACTTGCTTATTTTGTTACCAGTGGAGGGTGTCCAGCTTCTTGGCGTCTTGAACAAAGAATTGGATGAAATGCACAAACAAAGCAAGGAAACAATGAAGCCACAAAAGCAGGGATTTACTGAAAACAAAAGTGCACTCCACAGGGTGGAGCGGGCCAAGCATAGGGGCTCAAGAGCCCGGTTACAGAATTTTCTGGGGTTTAAATACCCTCCAGAGGTTTTCATTGGTTATTTGGTGTACACACTATGTAAATGAAGAGGATGAAGTAATGTTACAAAGTCATTTACCCCTTGTGTAGACTCGGTGTACACCTTGTGTAAATAAAGAGGGTATTTCCCGTCATAGCTCAAGTGTTACCATTTGACTTAATTCTAGGAAGTCCTTAGGTTCCCCGCCTCCAGGCCCTATTCTCCTGTCTCAATTTCACTCAGCATAATGTCCTCCAGGCTCTTCCATGTTGTAGTGAAGTGTCTTCCTTTTTAAGGCTGAATACTATTCCATTGTCTATATAGATGGTGTTTTGTTTATCCATTCATGTGAAGGACACTTGGGTTGTTTCCACGTTTTTGCTATTGGGAATGATGCTGCTGTGAACGTGAGTGTACACAAGTTTATTCTTTTGGTTTGTTTTTTGAGCTGGAGTCTCTCCTTCTGTCACGTAGGCTGCAGTGCCGTGGTGCGATCTCAGCTCACTGCAACCTCTGCCTCCTGGGTTCAAGCGATTCTCCTGCCTCAGCCTCCTGAGTAGCTGGGATTACAGGCACCGGTTATCACACCTAATTTTTGTATTTTCAGTAAAGACAGGGCTTCACCATGTTGGACAGGCTGGTGTTGAACCCTTGACCTCGAGTGATCTGCTCTCCTCTGCCTCCCAAAGTGCTGGGATTACAGGCAGGAGCCACTACGCCCCACCCACAATTTTATTCTTAATGGAACTTCTCCCTCTGCTTCGCTTTTAGGCCCAGACCCATGGGAAGTGGCCGGTCAAGTGGTACGCTCCGGAGTGTATCAACTACTACAAGTTCTCCAGCAAAAGCGACGTCTGGAGCTTTGGAGTGCTGATGTGGGAAGCATTTTCCTATGGGCAGAAGCCGTATCGCGTAAGTCGCCCCCGCTTCATTTTCTCACTAGGTGGCCATTAGAACAGATAAGCACCAGGTTGTCTTTACAGGAACCTGAAAATCCTAAAATCTGAGCACCTCTCTGAGCCTCTCATTATCTCTTACCAGTAAGCAGTGGTAAGGGATATGTGCCCTCCATCTATCCTAAACTGAGAACAAAATATCTGATGCTTACTGAAGAGTGTGTTTTTCCATTGTGTGTTAATGCATGTAAATATACACAAATATAGACCCAGATCATTACTCATTAGAGTTGAAGTAGAAATAATGACTATTTACAATGTTTTTTAGATATTTTAATTAAAACATATGTACCATAAAGGGCACAACTCTTAGGATGAGGCACAGTGGTTTTCCGTAAATGAAACATACCTATGAAATCAGCCCCCAGATGAAGAACAGAACCCCAACGCCCTGTTTCCTCTGCACACACAGCAGATTAAGTGCTCCTGTTTTTGTATTCTATGGAATTGAAATCATACAACGTGTACTCCTCCATGTCTTGGAGTGGCTGTTGTGTTTTGTTTGGCTAACACTTTAAAAAACAAAAAAAAACAAAACGAAAAGCTTATGTGTATCTTGCATGTTGTAGGGAATGAAAGGAAGTGAAGTCACCGCTATGTTAGAGAAAGGAGAGCGGATGGGATGCCCTGCAGGGTGTCCAAGAGAGATGTACGATCTCATGAACCTGTGCTGGACATACGAGTGAGTACCTGACACTGTCTGTGATGTGTTCAAATGCTCGGGGGACAGGTGAAATGGCTGGGCATCTAAAAGAAGCATAAAGTTCATCTTTTCATGAATCAGTAATGTGCCCCTTTGCTAAACAAACAGTGGTGGGGCCTGGTCCTGCTTTAAGAGACCTTGCTCTCTGGCCCATGCACTTAACACCTGGTAGAGCCTGAACAGCCAAGTCTAGATGGGGACTCTTACCCAAGTGTCCAAATGTAAATGTCGGTAAGGCGGGGAGATGGGGCAAGGGCAGTCAAAGTAAAAAGGCGTTTGTAAGAGGTTGGGGCTGGATACCATTTTTGGCATAGAGGATGGCAGAAGTACTCGGTAGGAGATGTCATACTTTCCTGACTTTTTGATTACCATAAGCAGTGAGGCGCGACCTTGGACTCTGTACAGCTCACAGATGGATTGGCTAAGGTTGCACTTCCCTAGAATCTACCCAGTCCTTGAAGTGGAAGTGCTCAGGTGATGTTCAGGGCAGCTCAGCAGGGAAGGAAAGCGCATTGCCCCTGAAAATTAGGAGTACAGCTTTCCCAGGCTCAGCAGCCCGCCTGTGCGTGTGTAGCACGGTCACCCCAAGCCGCCGCCTCCGGCTCCCTGGTACCGAACTGTGCACACAGAGAGCCCATGCAGCTTAGAATTGATGTGGCCTGTGATCAGGAGGACGTCACAAATCCTGGCCATGGATTTGATGTTTTGTGAAATCAGGTTTGCCCTCAGATACAGGTGACATTGCCAGAGCCCCTGAAAGCTGAGGGCTATTCCAAATGCTGCAGATACCACCTGGGATTCTGAGACCAACCCTCCCCCGCCGGGAGTATCACTCTACCACAATTGTGAGTGGCAGGGAAAGAATCTCTATCTAGAAACCACCCAGGGGGCAGCCACAGAGGCAGCGGGCAAACTGCGGGCAGATGCTCTCCTGCCCCTGCTGCTGCCGTGGCTCAGGAGAGGGGCCTGACCTCAGCCCTCTGGCATTGTCTCCAACCCCAAGTGTTAGTGCTACAGGGACAGCAAAGTGTCAGCAAGAGGGGAATGTTCTTCACAGATTTAGGGTGCTGTTTATTCCTAAGTCTTGGCTTAATTCTCCCAGTGCCCAAACTAGAATCGTCAGAACCATTGGCAGGTAGGCATTGGCAGTACTGGACCTGGGGAGGGCAGCCCTCGGGCACATGGCGGCCTTTGACCCTTTACTGCTAGTGTACTTTTGTCCTCCCTTTGGCTCGCTTTACAAGGCTTCCCTTCCTGTAGAGGGTGAGGAGGACAGAGATTAAATCATTGTGATACAAATGCAAAAACTTGAAAGTAAAAATGAACTCGCTGGAGGAGAGGTTTTACATTTAATGTTGATGCTGATCTATTTATTTCTATTACTCTGCTTTGTGGTGTGTGTTTAACAGTGAGGAGTGAAGGGTGGCAGGGGAGAGGGCTGGGTGCTGGCGCAGCCAGGGGAACCACCTCCCACTTGGCTCCCAGGGGGTGCGGTGAGGCTGCTGAATACCCTTTGAGCTGTGGTGCATTCTTGAGACTCAGGGAATCAGGATGGGGGCTGCTGGGCCCACCTCTGTCCTCCATGGATGCACATCCCTGTTATTTCCAGAATGGTCCACCAGGGGGAGAACGGGGAGGGAAAGCAGTCTCCTGTGATATTCACTGGATATTCACCAGAATTACAGCAAAGTTGAGCAGTAGAAGAGTCTCCTTAAGAGAGCATTCTTTCAAAATGTATTTTCCAGCCTGGAGATTTAAGATGGAACCTGAATGAGGTTCACAGGCAAGCAATGTCTTTCCCCTCGGTTCCCACCCCAGCTCATGCTGCAGGGGTGCATTTCAGTGAGTTCTGCAGGCTTGGAGGAGTCAGCAACAGGGCGCAAGCCCCAGGTCAAAAGGAAATCATGATGATGGCCTATGCCCCAGATTAGAAATCACAGCTCTTCGGCAGACTGTGATTTATTTGCCAACAAAGCTATATTTCTGAAGGTTACTGTGTTTCTAGTAGTGACCTCCAACAGGGTTGCGGGAGGTGGGAAGATATTCAGAAACTTTTGAAGCAGCAGCATTTGCCTGGGGTAGTACCTGAATTCGTTGCCTCACGCCAAGGAAACGGAAGATGCAGACACACAAGAAGTGAGTTTAAGAGCAGAGGTTTAATAGGCAAGAGAAAAGAGGAAACTCTCTCTTCTACAGAGGGTAGGGGCCCCCACATGGTTCTTCGGTTCCATGTTGAAATGCGCAGGGTTTTATAGAGGAGCTTGGGTCTGATTTACATAGGTCCCAAAGATTGGTTGGACCAGGTGTGTCATTTACACAACACGCAAAGAAACTGACCGCCCCACCCTAATCTTTTATTATGCAGACGGTGTCTCTACTTGGCTGGAGCCGTGTTGCCTGCTTTTTTACTGCACATGGGCAACAAGGAAAATGGAATGGGAACCTCCATGTTGAATTTCCCTGGCTTCCAAGTATTCCTTTTCTATTGGCATAGCTGCTGAGATTTACCTATACAAGCTTTTAGCTTGCTTATCTATGCTTGCAGCTTGATTTTTCAGGCTATTTTTTGTTAGAAAAAAACATGATTTGGGGGCTGCTTTTCATTAAAAGGAAACTATACCAAGGACTCTGTTACCCTCACTCTCTGCCTAAATAATTTCTTCCTAGCTCCTGTATCACTTTGTCTAAACATAAGAAATTCAATGAGGTGCAGCTGAATGAATAACGGCATTAGAGTTCTGCCCTGTGCAGGTCACTCAAGGAGGCAGCGTGAAAGCCAGGCAGGAAACACTGGCCCTAAGGAAAGCAGGAAATCAATCAGGGAGTCTTCCATTGTAGTGTTTTCCAGAGCCAAGTTATGCTCAGGGCGATTAAAGACATCAGTGGGAAAAGGCCTTGCAAAGGAAAGAAGTTGGTGCTCTTGATCCTAAAACACAGTCTCCTAACAGTCCTGACCCTCCAGTGGGGCCTCTGCCCAATGGAGAAAACTCCTGGGCTCTCAAGGTTCTCTGAGAGTCAGGGAGGATCTAGATGTGGCTCAAATTCCTGTTGAAAGATTAATAAACCCAAGATATAGCATGAATTCTCAGGACTTTGGTGAGATCTGCCCTGGCTTCCTGCAGAGCCTCAGCCCCAAGGCTTTCCTCTGAGCCGCACGTCCTCTGAGAGCACTGGGTCATTTACAGGGTCTGTGGCCATGGCCGGAGCCCCTGCTGTGCATGCTGTCACCTCACGTGCAAGCCTCACAGACGCTTCACACCCTGTCCTTATCAGACCTTATAGTTGGGGCTGGGGCAGTCAGGCGATAAACAACAAGCTAAAAAGAAGTGTGTCCTATGGTGTGTCTTAGGAAAGGGACGATTCCAGTGGGAATTCAAAGCAAGGAGGGCACCGGGGCATGGAGGATATCACACGTAAGTGTGGGGTTTTTAAAGCCCCCTTGTGTTGAAGTAATTTCTCAGTTGCCTGTGGCACAAAAGCGTATTGGAGCTTCTAGAAAGCGTGGATTCAACAAGGGGACTACAGGTGGTCCCAGTATATTCTCTGTTTTGTTTTGCTTTGTTTTTTCATTTTTTCCTCAGTTGTAAACAGCCACCTTCTCCAAGGTGATATGTAGAGACAGACAGAGAGAGCGGGAGGGAGATAGACGAGGGGAGAGAAGGAGGGAGGGAGAGAAGCAGTCTCATTAGCACAAACCCAGGTATGGAAGGGGGCTATTATGAGTAACAAAAGATGTTGCTTTCAGCCTGACACTCAGGAAATCCCAAGGGTTTTAGGAAATCTGTGCCAGGAACCCAGGATGAAGACCATATATTTTATATAAAATCACACACTGGGAACTTCAAAGGAGAACAGAGAATTATGGGGAAGGGAGGGTCACACTTCCAACAGGGGCTCCAGATAGGCCATCTTGAGGGATTGCAGCTGAGACCTGCAGGCTAAGAAGTGAGACTGTGTATAGGGATGAGGGGGGAAGAGGAGGGTCGCTGGGCGCGAGGGGCAGAGCAGAAACTGCACTCCGGCCTGAAAGCAGAACGGCAGGCCAGAGCAGGGCAGGAAGCTGGGCACGCAAGGGCACTGCATTACCCTCCCGCTGCCGAAGCACAGCTGTGTACCAGCTTCCTGGAGGCAGCGTCTCCCATGGATGTACAGGAGAGATTTCCTAGGAGACCTGACCAGGTGTTTTTCCTGAGGATGAGTCTGTATTCCTGTTTCCTTGCGTTTGTTTGCTGCGTGGCTGCTGGGCAGGTGAACCCCCAGAGCAAGATCCAAAGGTGCACTTTGTGCCATTTGGATCCCCAAAGTTGGAGCAGGGCCCCCTGTTTTGCAAAGATGCTAAAGTACATTCTCTTTGTAGACATTTAGGAGCAAGACAGAGGCTGTCCCTCTGGGTGGATGCAAGTTTCTCTGCATGCTCCTGTACCATAGTGTTGGCCACCATATCCCCTCCTGGAACACACTTGGTGGCAAGAGACAAGGCCCCTCTCAGTGACACCCTGGGAGGCCTGTGTCCCCAGACATCACCACAGATGGCTGACCACACTGATCAACTTGAACAGTTTTATCGTTTTGCTTGCTATTGAAAGCTATAGGGAAAACCGTGTGTTTTGATGCCATTTGACAATTTGTAGAAGCCACTCTGCTCTTATAATGATGAGTGATTCTTGGTCCTGATGCACGTTCTAGGGCTGTTCTCCTGTGTTGACATTGAACCATACAAAATTGCCATTGACATAGGTCAAAATGGTTGAATGTGGATGGTTTCATACAATTTAACCTCACACTATTTCACTGTTTCACTTGCTGTATTTCAACTTCATCCACTTGCAATATATCCAGAAATCTTGCAAAATCAGAAAAATAACTTCTAAGTGAGGATAGATTATCAGGGTTTTAATACTTGCTTCTAACTGATCTGTGCATGACATCTGTGTAAGAGAAAACAGAAGTGTCTGTAAGTGTTTGTATAGAGACTGTAAATTGTTAATGCTTCTGCCTGTAGTTCACTGACATCAGTGCCTCCCTGGCCAGCAGTGGCAGTAAGACCTGGCTCTATTAAGGTGGATCATACACAAGCCCTGGGTCTTTGCTTCTGCCCTGACATGTTTTGAGTTTTAATAAGAACCCATATCAACAGCCATTTTTCACAAAATCCAGAGCCATCAATTAGAGCGTGGAAAGGGAGAATTAAAGCTATGTTTATATTTTCTACTCTTAACAAGATTATGGTCAAATGTTGACTGTATCTGCAGTACATTTGCCAAGTATTTTCAGACACCTGTGTGCTAAAATCACAAAGTGACAGCCTCTGAACCTGGAGCTAAAAGACTGCCAGTTCTAATGCAATATGTCTTCGACTTTAAGGTGTACATGAATCACTGGAGGTCTTGTTAAAATGCAGATATGGGTTCTGTAGGTCTGCAGTGGGCTGACACTGTATTTCTGACAGCCTTCTGGTCACCCTGGGGTGGGGGACACAGGGACCACGCTGTGAGCTGCAGACCCTAGAGTCAGCCACCAGGGAGTGGCACTACTGCTACTCTGCCTGCAGAGGCCCCGCTTGTGATGGGCATTTTTTCACAAGCACATTGACAAACAATAATGCATCTCTTCCCTTTCCAGTGTGGAGAACAGGCCCGGATTCACAGCGGTGGAACTGCGGCTGCGCAATTACTACTATGACGTGGTGAACTAACCACTCCCGTACCTGTTGGTGGCTGCCTTTGATCACAGGAGCAATCACAGGAAAATGTACCCAGAGGAATTGATTGTCGGCCACCTCCTTCTGCCAGTCAGGAGAGCCAGCCTTGGATGGAACATGCCCGTGACTTGTCACCCAAAGCCTGTCCCAGGACTCATACTCCGCAAAGCAAAGGCCATCCCAGGAGAAAAGGCAGATGTCAGGGTCAAAGGGGCTAGGTAGATTTGTTCGGTTTTTTTGTCTGCGTGATTTTCATACAGGTTATTTTTACAATCTGTTTCCAAATCCCTTTCATGTCTTTCCCCTTCTCTGGATCCTGGGGTATATTTGTTACTCAGCAGGTCCAGGGGCATTGCAGGGTGGCCAAGAGCATTCTCACCCCAAGCAGCCTTTTCCAGATGCTCAAGGACACCTGAGCATGTGACTCCTGAAGGGAAGGTAAAGGCAGAGGAATTTGGCTGCTTCTACAGCGTGGCTCTGACAGCCCATGAGACTGATCCTTGGCCACTGAAAAGCTTTCCTAACAATAAAAGTGTTTTGAGGCTTTAAAAAGAAAATCAGGTTTGACCTGTGCAGTTCCTAAGCATGTAGCCAGTTCGGGAAAGGAAAAAAAAAAAAAGCCTGGATACTGCTTTTGTCGTCTCTGTTATGAAATGGAAGACATATGTTTGTGATAACAGGGGACCATTTGAAGGGATTGGCTTGGTTTACTTTCCCCCCTGAAATCCTGTCTGCTGCAGACTGTCTTGAAGACCTGGTGACTGGTAAATAAGGCTCTGCATGGAGGCTGCATAGCAGGAGCAAGAGGTCTGTCCCCCAGCATCTCACTGAGGAGGCAGGAGGCCTGTTCCCTGGCGTCTAGGGACAGTGTTAATTCATAGAAAGAGTTAATTCATAACAAGCCAAAGACGCTGAGCCTCACCACAAATAGGTCTTTTGGAATGTGAGTTTGGGTTGAAGATACAAGACTAGAGAATTCTTTTCTGGTCTTAACTAATCCTTGACTTAATGTTTGATCTTATACCAGTCATCACCCATTGATATCAGTTTTGCTGTAGCTCTTGAAAGCTAAAGAGACATCCCAGTACTTTGGGAGGCCAAGGCGGCGGGATCACTTGAGGTCAGGAGTTCAAGACCAGCCTGGCCAATATGGTGAAACCCCATTTCTACTAAAAATACAACAATTAGCTGGGCCTGGTTTCGCGCACCTGTAGTCCCAGCTACTCAGGAGGCTGAGGCAGGAGAATCACTTGAACCCGGGAAACGGAGGTTGCAGTGAGCCTAGACCATACCATTGCACTCTAGCCTGAGCATCACAGGAAGACTCTGTCTCAAAAAAAAAAAAAGTTAAAGAGATAATTTAGCCATTATTCTTATGTAAGCAGATAGAAATAAACTTGGACCCATCTGGCCTTCAGCTATACCTGAAGCATTTTAAAGTGCATGGTCAGCCACGGACAGCAGGGGAGACTCTCCTCTAACAGGGGATGCAAGGCATGGGGAAAGACAGCCAGTTCCCACGCTCAGCCACAGGAGACAGGAGTCACTCATAGAATTTGTAGTTAGAAGGTTTTAGAAGCCACACATACTTTTTGAATCACACTATCTGGTGGTTTAATCATATTTTTAAAGACAGAAGCCCTGAGTGCTAAGAGTGCTGAGCAGTTTCTCAAAACACATTTAGAATCGCTGAAATTAGAAAGACAAAATATCTGTCTGCCAGGCCACAAACCGGTGTAGAATTAGGAAAGGAGAGGCTGGATGTGCCAGGTTTGGTAAAGCGGTGACGGCGTCTGAGAAAGAGGCTGAGGCTGAACTCTTGGTGGCTTCCTTCTGTAACTTCCCGAGGGTGTCTTTAACACAGGCCCCGTGCTCATAGGATACAGTAGTACCTATGTAGGAAGTGTGTGGGGTTTTCTGTCTTCTTTCTGTGTGGTTTTTGGCCTCTTTTTCAGTACTTCTCCCCTCCCAGGAGGCTGGTGTTGCCAAGTATCCAGAATGTGATGAGGCGAGAAGCGGGCAGGGGCCTCACCTCCTTGCAGAGGTCCAGCCGGCTCTCCTTGTCCTTGAACAACCTCCTGAGTGCTCCGCTTGGTGGAGCAGGCTCCTGCGTGCAGAATTCCCGCTGTGGCCAACATGAGGAAGTCTTTTCTAGTGAAAACTGAGTCCTGTGGTCAGGGATAATTATCCTTTCCCCTGCAGCCACAAAGGAGGGCAAACAGAGAAAGGCAACGTAATTGAAGAAGGATTGGTCATGTGAAAAGGGCTACATTTGGGAAGCTGGGAAGGGTCTCCAGGCTTCTAGAGCAGCTAGCTTGGGCTGGATTCTCACACCCAGGATGCCCCTCGGATTATTCTAACCGAGCTTTTCCCTGGGGCCTGGGCTCACTGCATAAGGTAAGGTGCCTTTTACCCGATGGTCCTTCTTTAGCAGGGAACAAAGGAGCATCATGAACAGACAGACTGCCCTAGCACCATCACGTTGGCAGCTGAGGCCATGAATATCCTGTCCCCCAGCAGGGCCGTGTGTGTGTCTATGACAGAAAACAGTGTGTTCAGTGCTGAAAATCATTGCATGCGTGTCTTCATCTGAGCATGTCCTCCTCCCATACTGCCTATCACCCAGCCCTGCCTGTGGCTGCTAGATGGTGACTTCCCTTGGTCGTCTGCAAGTCGGCCTGGATTTTCATTTGCAGAGGGGGCAGCTGCATTGTCAGGCCTCCCAGCCCTGCAAAGAGCTCCCTCCACTGGTTATCAGCGTGTCCTGTTTTCCATTCATTTCAGAAGAGCTACATTGTGTCACCGGACACTTTTAAAAATTGTGATTTTTAATAAAAATTTAAAATTAGCTTTGTGATGATTTTCATGGAAGTTACTAGGATGTGATAAGTCACACTGTCAAACAGTGCCAAGCAGCGTTGTCAAAGAAGTAGCTAAATATTTTCTAAAACATGAAGTCCCTGCCATGTCCTAAAAGAGTGAATGTGTTGGCTGGGTGCAGTGGCTCATGCCTATAATCCCAACGCTTTGGGAGGCCAAGGCAGGATCTCACACATGAGCCCAGGAGTCTGAGACCAACCTGGACAACATAGTAAGACTTTGTCTCTGCAGAGATCAAAACATTAGCTGGGCGTGGTGGTGCGTACCTTAGTCCCAGCTGCTTGGGAGGCTGAGGCAGGAGGATCACTTGAACCTGGGAGGTCAAGGCTGAAATGAGCCATGATGCAGAGGGGGCAGCTGCATGGTCAGGCCTCCCAGCCCTGCAAAGAGCTCCCTCCACTGGTTATCAGCGTGTCGTGTTTTCCATTCATTTCAGAAGAGCTACCTTGATGGCCTCACTGTACTCCAGCCCAGGTGACAGACAAGATCCTATCACCAAAAAATAAAAGTAGATCTGCACAGGCCACTCAAAGCTGTCTGTGAGATTCCACCCCACAGAAAGGGGAGGCCCAGCAGGGAGGGTCCTGTCCTGCCTGTATGTTTTATTCATGGGCAGAGCATCTACTCAGCAAGGGCCTGACAGCCCATGGCCTGTTTTATAAAAGGCTGACTTTTTGAGGAGACCCAAAATCCCCCATCAGGCCAATGCAGGGTTGTGGGTTTTGAGCTGTCCCTTTCTCTATGAAGACAGCCTAAAGGGAATTGGGGTAGACAAAGAAAGGATTCCAAGGCCCCAACCTCTGCCGGTTCTAAGGAGGTTACACACATGCACAGATATACACACATATATATCCACATGCACACATGCATGCATACATGTGTACATATGCACACATGAATGCCAGCACATGTGCATATGTCTCAATGCATGCATGCATATACACACATGCGTGGGCATGAACACGCACACATTAACATGCACACATGCATCCACACATATAAGCACATGCACAAATGCATACATAAACACATGTGCACAGACATACATACATGTACACACATACCCACATGAACACATACATACACATGTGCAGCCATGAGCACACATACATGCACATGCACACAAATACACAGAACATGCATGCACCACACAGTACACAAATATACCAAACACACCTGCCACATACAAATTCACACACTGCACACATACACTGCACATACACACTATACCATACATACACACCACGCTAGCACATACACATAACACACAGCACCTCACATACTGAACCTCACTCCAAATATCCACTTAAAAATCCATGCGAGACAGTTGTCCTGCAGCGGACACACCCTCGTGTTTGTATCCATCTTCACCGCTGCCCTCTCCGGGCTCAAGCAGTATGGGACTCTTCCTCACAGTCTTCCATCCTAGCTTCCCCGGTCCTCTCTGCTCTTGCCAAGCCAAGTTAAGTTTGGAGGAAACAATGAACTTGGCCGTGCCAAGGCTCCCTTGGTCAGCCGGGAGATGGGAAGGACACAGACTGCCCAATAGCCCAGTGGGTTGGAGGAGGCCGCTCCAAATACAGTGGGATGGTGAAGCGCCCTGAAGTCAGAGAAGGACACAGCATACAACAGACTGGGCTCCAGCACTGACCTTGGGCACGTCCTATAAACTGAGCCCCCGAGCACCACAATTTCAGATGAGGGTGCCTGCACTGACACATGTAAGTGACGGCACAGTGCCCTTATTTGAAAAATGTCAGTAGATGCCATGGTTTGTGTTGTTCATGCCAGTGGCCAATTGCTGGGAGGAATCCTGTGGGCAGCAGGCAGTGTGGGCTCCGGGATGGCTCAGGAAATAGCACTGGCCTTTGGCTTCAACCCCAGGAAGGGGGACCTCTTGTGATAATGTGTCACTGCACTGCAGTGTGAGATGGCTTTACCGCTAGCCTGAGCTGCAGCAGAGAGGCGGTTTAAAACCCCTGGGCTTGTCGTTCGGAGATTAGCAGGGGACTTTAGAACTGGTTAATGAATGTGTTCTCATTTTGGGGAGTAAGGGAACATTTTGAAAAAGGGAGATTTGGGTTTTCGAATTATCTCTTAGTTTGGGATAAACAATGCAGTGTCTCTTTTGTTCTCCTGGTTACTGGCTGGTGGCTTCAGGGTGGACATTTGTCCCTGCTTCAGGGCAAGCAACCCTACTGAATTAGCACCTCCCCTCCAGTGTTAGACTGCCCCGCCAACACCTCTGTGCTGTGGGACCTCCCACCCCTTCCTGCCCCATGCTCTGTCTCCTGTGGCCTGAAATTTCCAAGGAGAAACCAAAAAAAAACACATTTCACTAAGTGTTTTCCAGGATATAAGTCTGGAAGGTGGAGGCGCTGTACAGCACGCAGTTTCCCTGATTAAATCACCTAGAAAACATGGCCAACCATATTCCCAGCACTCATTAACCTCCTAAGAGCTCCAAGGAGCACTGCAGTTGAGACCTTCTCATGGAGCTTTTCTAGCTCAACACTTCACTGACTTCTTTGGCCACAGAACTACTAGGTGCTCAATACCAATTAGCATGATAGCGTGGTGTTCCTTCACGCTCACTGGGAAATGTGCTTACGGAGCATTGGGGAGGTATCTATAAAGGGCCATGATCATTTTGTCCCCTGAAATCACACCAAGGAAGCAAGTATCCGTGCTTTTTTTTGAGATGGAGTTTCACTCTTGTTGCCCAGGCTGGAGTGCAACGGCACAATATCGGCTCACTGCAACCTCTGCCACCCGAGTAGCTGAGATTGCAGGTGCACGCCACCATGCCCAGCTAATTTTGTATTTTTAGTAGAGACAGGGTTTCTCCATGTTGGTCAGGCTGGTCTTGAACTCCTGACCTCAGGTGATCTGCCCACCTCAGCCTCCCAAAGTGCTGGGATTACAGGTGTGAGCCACCGCGCCCAGCCCTGTGCTCTTATTAACTGGAGAGCCAGCTCTGTCCTGTCAATTCTCAAAGGTTAGGTTACAAATCATATGTTCTCTCTCTCTCTCTCTCTCAAATACACACATAAACACACACACACACACTCTCTCTCTCTCTCTCTCTCTCTCTCTCTCTCTCTCTCT